CCACTTTACACAAAATATACACTCTCATCAGTACCACATCACATCTATTTACAGGTTTCAATGACATATTGGTTGGCTGCTTGTTTGTTATTTTCTTCCCTTATTTTTTTTTTCATGTCTCTATTATTAAGCACAATTATAGGCATACCCATTTTTAGACTGCATTCTAGCCCGGGCAATAAAGCAACACCCCTGTTCTCTCTCCCTCTTCCTCTTTCTCTCTTCCTCTCCTTCATTCTTTTTTTTTCTTTCTTTCTTCTTTTTTAGGAAAAAAAAATAATAGGCTATTTAGAATGAAATTAATGAAAAAAGCTATATGCAATAAAAAAAGAAAAAAGAAAAATTAGGCCAGGCTCAGTGGTTCATGCCTATAATCCCAGCACTTTGGCAGACCGAGGTGGGTGGATCACCTGAGGTCAGAAGTTCAAAACCTGGCCAACATGGCAAAGCCCCATCTCTACTAAAAACACAAAAATCAGCCAGGTGTGGTGGCATACATCTGTAATCCCAGTTACTTAGGAGGCTGAGGCAGGAGAATCACTTCAACCTGCAAGGTGGAGGTTGCAGTGAGCAGAGATCGTGCCACTGCACTCCAGCAACAGAGTGAGACTCCATCTCAAAAAACAACAACAAAAAACACAAAAATTAGCCCAGCATGGTGGCGGGTGCCTATAGTCCCAGCTACTCAGGAGCCTAAGGCAGAAGAATTGCCTGAACCTGGGGGCAGAGGTTGCAGTGAGCCGAGATCACGCCACTGCACTCCAGTCTGGGTGACACAGAGAGACTCCATCTCAAAAAAAAACAAAACAAAAACATGTAGGTTAAAAAACAAAACAAAGTGATTTGGCATGTAGCTGACTAAATATTGTCTGCTCACCTAAATTCATTTAAAGGTAAATTAAAAAAACCCACAATCGTTTCAGACAAATTCTTAAATCTGGCAGCAATCAGCCTGAGGACAGCCAATTTGAGACCACTGCTTTAAAAAGACTAAGTCCCTAGAACTAAGAAAAACCTTAAAACAAGATTAAGAATCACTTCATCAGTTCAGGCCTCTCCCAATTCAGTAACCATTTGTTATTAGTGATTGTGCTTAGTAACTATCTTAACTATAATATGAAGATGAATAAGGCAGGCTCCCTTCACCCTTTTAAGGGAACATATCATTTTAGAGATAAAGCAAAGACAAAGTGGAGTGGTAAGGAATATAGTGGCTCCCAGACATGTCTGGGTGCCAGCGTCACCTGATTCCCAGGCTGTCCTGGGCTCCTAGTTTTAGCACACACTCCAGGTAATTCAGAGACATGTTCCCTTAAGTGTCTGGAAGCAATGCTTTATGAAAATAGGTTTCATATACTAGGCATCTGTCATGTGAGGGGCATCAGGCATATTCTATTATCATATTTCTGATCCTTACAAGTGCCCAGTGAGGCAGGCATGATCATCAACAGTCAGAATGCATTTAGGGGTAGGGGTGGAGGGTCCTGCCTCAGAGCTGTTCGGAAGATTAAATGTGATGGCTGGTTGCAAGGCACGTCAAACAGTGCCTGACAAAAGCCAGCTGCTTAGCCTCTGACAGACTGAGGGAAGAGTTTTGAGTAAAATGCCTGGAGTGTCCTATCCTCTCTTCTAACTCCCCAGTAGAGCAGGGGCAAATCTGTCAAACTCAAGATCATATGACAGAATCAAACATAGCTTGGGTGAGTGCAATGGCCCTTTTCCACCCATTTTCAGCAACAACCTTCTCTCCCTCAGAGCTATGCTCAACCCACTCCACCTTCTCACTGATGACCCAGGCTCTTAAGAAAACAGAAACAATCAGGCAGGAACTTCATCTTCCCGTCACCCAATCCGCCAGCAGCTGTACCCTATACTCTGCCTTCGCAGTCCAACCTTTCCAATTTTAATATGGATTCTATACTGAAACAGAGTATTTCACCCAAAAATATACTTCTTTGACATATTCAGAGGGGCCGAAAGCACAGGACTCACTTTGAAGAGCTGTCTTTTGTGGGGGAGATTTGTATCTGTAGAGAAAATCCACATTAATGAGGTAAACAGGCTTTCTCTGAAGTCCCCCCTCTTACTCAGATCTAGGAAAGATGCACTCACAGGAAAAACTAAGGAGGCTAAGGTCCAACACTTTAAAGGTCTGACAGAAACTTTTCCCACGGGATACATCTATTCTTTGTGACAGCTGCTGCCTGTGAGGTTCCACCTGCCTAACAGGACAGCCTGTGGTGCCGTGCTTTCCCCTCCGGGCTCTCCCATAACCTGTCTTGAAGGACTCCAAGTCCCTATTCTTTCTGTAACCACGGGGTGGTCTAAAAATTTCAGCTGCGCTTAAGAGTTTTCTTATTTTGTCTGACTCTCGAGCACACATGTGCCTGTAATAATCTTACACTTTTCTCTGTCCTATAACCTATCTTTTAAGAATGTCAGCTGTGAAAAGGAGGGAAGGGATCGCCCCTCTTCCATCCCTACAGTTCCCTTCTTGGTTGCAAGGAATTTACTCCTGCAATCACTCCTCTGCTCCCGTAACATCAATTACTCCTCTTCTACTGAACCATTTTCAGCAGCACACAAACATGCTCTATTATCTCTTACCTCGGTGGGATTGCCTCCCCCCAAAAAACATTTCCACATTTGTACCATTTTTCTGATCCTCTTTATAAAGCAAGGCTTAACTAGCTCTTGTCAATGGCATCAATGACCTGCAACCATCACTTACGGGTTGACAGAGTTGACACAACTGGCAACTCCCTCCTTGACATCCTTTCTACGTTTCGAAGAGATCAGTCTCCTCTTTTTGTTGTTGTTGTTGTTGTTTTTTTTTTGAGACCAACTCTCACGCTGTTGCCCAGGCTAGGGTGCTGTGGCGAAATCTCAGCTCACTGCAACCTCCACCTCCTGGGTTCAAGCAATTCTCCTGTCTGCCTCAGCCTCCCGAGTAGTTGGGATTACAGGCATCTGCCACCACATCCTGCTAATTTTTGTATTTTCAGTAGAAACATTTTCATCATGTTGCCCAGGTGGTCTTGAACTCCTAGTCTCCCAAAGGGCTGGGATTACAGGCAAGAGCCATGTCACCCAGCCGGCTCCTCTTTCACATTCTAGAGAACCCCAGGGTTCACTCCCTAAGTAATACCATCCAGCCCCATGGCTTTAGATACCATTTATATGCTAATTTCCCCAATATGCATCTCTAGCTCCCCTGTGCTTATATTCAACTGCCCCAGGCACCTCCTTAACCAAATTCAAACTCCTGATCTTCCTCCCAGACTTGTTCTGCAATCTTTCACATCTTAATAATGTCATCCTTCCAACTGCTTGGGTCAAAAAAGTGGCAGTCTTTTCCCCTATACCCCACATCAAATCCAGCAGCAAATTCATCTCATCAAACTTCAAAATACATCTAGAACCAAAGCACTTCTCATCACCTTTACTTCTCCCTCCTCAATCCAAGCCTCCGCCACCACTGCCACAACCATCTACACTAGCCTCTCTGCGTCTGCCCTTGTTGTCTCCTCCTCAATGCCATATCCTTGGTTCTTTTTTTTTTTTTTTTTAGGACAAGAGTTCTCACTCTGCTGGCCAGGCTGGAGTGCAGTGGTGCAATCTCGGCTTACTGCAACCTCCCACCTCCCAGGCTCAAGCGATTCTCGTGCCTCAGCGTCCCCAACAGCTGGGATTACAGGCAGGCCACCACGCCTGACTAATTTTTGTATTTTTCAGTAGAGACGGTGTTTCACCATGTTGCCCAGGCTGGTCTCAAACTCCTGACCTCAAGCATCCATCCACCGTGGCCTCCCAAAGTGTTGAGATTACAGGTGTGAGCTACCGTGCCTGGCCGCCACATCCTTTTTCAACAAAGCACTATTCATCAAATCAGGCTGCATCATTCCTCTGCCCCAAACCTTCCCATTTCAATCAGAATAAAAGCTCATGTCCTGATGGGGAGGAAGGCAGCAAATCACACTGCCACGTGAGTGCCTATGCAACAATCTTGCATGTTCTTCACATGTACCCCCAAACCTAAAATGCAATAAAATAAATTAAAAAAAAAAAAAAAGCTCATGTCCTTCCACAGGCCATTACCTATTCCTCTCACCAGGCATCCCTTTGACTCCCGCTGTTCTGGCTCCCGCTGTTCTCTAACACACAGCAAGCTCCTCCTCAGGGTCTCTGTACCTGTGTCCCCTACCTGACACACTCTTTACCTCCCTCCTTCGGTTCTGAGCAAAACATCCTGTTCAAGAGGCGGTCTCTATCCACCCAATTTGAAAAGCACTTCCTCTCCCCCAGCACTTTCTATGTACTCCCCCCATGCTTTATTTTTCATCAGTGATAACCATCATAACAGGCTATACATTTTACTTATTTACCGTCCATCTACCAACGTAAGTGCGATAAGGAAAAGGACTTTTGTCTATTTTGATCACTGCTGAAACCCTAGTACCTTAGAATCCTGCATCTGGCCGGGCGCGGTGGCTCAAGCCTGTAATCCCAGCACTTTGGGAGGCCGAGGCGGGTGGATCACGAGGTCAAGAGATCGAGACCATCCTGGTCAACATGGTGAAACCCCGTCTCTACTAAAAATATAAAAAATTAGCTGGGCATGGTGGCACGTGCCTGTAATCCCAGCTACTCAGGAGGCTGAGGCAGGAGAATTGCCTGAACCCAGGAGGCGGAGGTTGCGGTGAGCCAAGATCGCGCCATTGCACTCCAGCCTGGGTAACAAGAGCGAAACTCCATCTCAAAAAAAAAAAAAAAAAAAAAAAAAAAAAAAAAAAAACACAAAAAAAAAAAAAAAAAAAAAAAAAAAAAAAAAAGAATCCTGCATCTGAGTGGATGCGTTTTTGTTAACAAATCTGTAAGATGATAATTGCCAAAACAAACGCCTCCCCATCTCTATAAATGGTATTACCTGCCTTCTAACCAGTCTCTGGAGCATCCATTCCTGCTCCCTACAATCCATTTACCACAGTGGCAGAATAATATTAAAATACTTAAATCAGATCATTTCTTTACCCAGCTTCCTATCACACTCAGTGAAATCCAGAGCCGTTATTCCAACGCCATCTCACGCATCCTTTTCCTCTTCAGCCACTAGATAAGTCTGACTGCACTGTATTTTAAGGCTTTTCTCTAAACCAAACTGGATCCTGCCCGAGGGCCTTTGCGCTGTCTGTAATGTTCATTCCCCATCTTTGCACGGCCAGTTATTTTTTGACATTTAGAGGTCGGTAGAAACGTCACCTCCTCAGAAAGGTCTTTATTCAATCCGCACCTTTTCACTCCTTTTGAACGTCAGCACAACACTTAACACATACTGACTTTCCTTTACATCACCTTTGTCCCACCACCTAGTTAGTATCTGAGCTCCCTGGGTGCGGGGCGCCCTCGTTCGACCTGCGGGTGCATCCCCCTCGCCCAGCGCGGTGGCTGCCCCCCAGCAGGCGCTCAGCGAGTGTGAACCCAATGCGCCCACTCAGGACTCGCGGGCTGCCGTGGCAGGCACTGCCCGCCAGTCCGCTTGCGAGCACCTCCCCGTCTCCGTGCCCGCAGCCCTCCGCGCTCCCGCCTCACTCGCTTACCTGTCGGCCAACTCCAGTACCTCGTGCACGCTGCCCGTGCTGACACGGATGCGCCCGGTGTACATATACTCGATAACGGCTTCCACTGTGTCGGGTTCGGGCCCCGGCTCGGAGCTCCACTTGCGCATCTCCACCCGTCCCGAGCGGGACTCGGAAAACTGGCCCGACAGCAGGGGCGTGAAGTATTCGGTGGCGGCGGCCAGTACCGAGCGGTGGGCCCGGAACTCGCGGCCTCCAGCCCCGCCGAAGCACAGGGTAATGTCGCAGAACAGGCCCTGGCGCCGCTGCTCGTTCTGCCGCCAGGACAGCTCCGAGCAGTGAGAGCTGCACTCGAAATCCTCGGCTTCTGGGCCCGGATCGCCCCCGCTCGCCTCCATGGCAGAGATCCCCGGCCCAGGCCCGAAGTCCACCGTGCCGCTGCCTCGGACTTCCGCAGCCAGTCCTGCCGAGCCGGCGGCGGCAGTCTCCATGCTCTCCATCTCCAGCACCTGAAGAGATGCAGCCGCGGCCGCCGCCGCCGCTGCCGCCACTGCCGCAGCCGCCATCTTGACGCTGCCGCGCCCGGCCTCCGCAGCCTTGGAACGATGCGACCGTTTGGTGCGACACAGAGGGATTCTGGGATTAAATAGTGCGCGCGGGGCGGAGCCGTGTCGCCCGCCGACTGCGCATGCGCAATCTCGCCTCCCGCAGCCCCGCCCACCTTGATGAGGTTCGGCTGTAATCGTCGCCCAGTCCGGATGTCTTCGCCCCAGGCCTCTTACCAGGACATTGGTGCGAGGATGGCTCGCTCCCTTTCCTTAGTGGGTAGCATGCTCTCTGCAGTCATTTTGTCTAGTAAAAGCCACCTTAGATCATCACCCGTTGTTAAAGCCTTAAGTGACAATACAGGATTTTTATAAGATTGAGTGCTAGCTAAGTGGATGAGGGGTGAGTTACTTGTTACCCCTAATTTATCTTCTAAACATGGGGATATTGCCGACTTTATAAGCTCACGGAGAGGATTCAGTGAGATAATACTTAAGCCAAGCGTTCTGCATAGTGCTTTGTGGTTCATAGTCAATGATCGTATATCCTTGTTGAAAAGATTAATTTAAAAGCCACTTTGGGGCCGGGCATGGTGGCTCACGCCTGTAATCCCAGCACTTTGAGAGGCCGAGGTGGGCGGATCACCAGGTCAGGAGATCAAGACCATCCTGGCTAACATGGTGAAACCCCGTCTCTAAAAATAAAAATAAAAATAAAAATAAAAAAGGCCGGACGCGGTGGCTCACGCCTGTAATCCCAGTACTTTGGGAGGCCGAGGCGGGTGGATCACTAGGTCAAGAGATCGAGACCATCCTGGTCAACATGGTGAAACCCTGTCTCTACTAAAAATACAAAAAATTAGCTGGGCATGGTGGCGCG